TACAGAAGCAGAGGAAGTGGTAAAAAGTGGAACCGCAACAAAGACAACTGTTGTAGTAGGAACCGCAGCAGAGGCAACTTCCGTAGCAGGGACCGCAGCGGAGGCAACTTCCGTAGCAGAAACTGCTGGAGTGAAACCCGGAGTTGAAACAGCAGCAGTAGAAACTGCAGCAGTGGAGACCACAGCGGCAGCAACARTAGAAACTGCAGCAGTGGAGACCACAACGGTGGAAGCGGCGACGGTGGGAACCGCAACAGTGGGAACTGCATTAGCAGCATATGAACAAGCAGTGACAGGACGAGCAGTGGAGGCAACTTCCGTAGCAGAAACTGCTGGAGTGAAACCCGGAGTTGAAACAGCAGCAGTAGAAACTGCAGCAGTGGAGACCTCAGCGGTGGAAGCGGCGACGGTGGGAACCACAACAGTGGGAACTGCATTAGCAGCAGATGAACAAGCAGTGACAGGACGAGCGCGATGTGGGGATAAAGAAGAAAGTGAGTGATGCAAGGACCATCGCAGCATACGTCGGAACCACTGAGAGAGACGGGTGACATGTATAGGATAACGACGTTGGCGGGAGCGTGTGTAGCAGGTCCATCCTTTAGCGAGGGTTGGTGGGGAATGGCCTCGAGAAAGAATGCAACGAGTGAGTGTTGTCGCTGCAGTTCGGAAGTCCTGCCAATTATTGCAGATGCGTTCAAATCTGGTCAATTGCCCAGTGAACACACCTGCCGGTTGATGGGAAGGGATGTTGGAGGTAGCACTTGGATAGCGAATAACAGGGAAATCCCAAGCAGCCGCTTTATCAAACGCGCTCATGCGAAGCGAACCATCAGAACGTACCCGTAGATGCATACCTAAGAAGGTACACGAGCCATCTGTAGCCGTAGTTTCCTTCCACTCAAGCCCATAGTGCTCTGAAGGAGGAGGTAATTGCCCCCATGAAAGAACATCATCAATGAGGCGGTAAGTGAAGGCGTATCGCTGAGCAGCTTGGGGATCATGTTGACGAATGTCATCAATAAAGCGTGCTTCATCCCAATAGAGCATTAGATTGGAGATTTCTGGGCCAGCATTTGTTCCCATTGGAATACCAATGATTTGCTTTCGAAGAGTGTCATCTCTAGTGTACAGAAAAATGTTTTCTACAACAAAGCGAAGATGTTGGAGAATCTGAGAAACGGAAAGGCTGTCTGGTCCTGAATCGGTTGTCCATTGGCCAGAGCAATGCCCGTGAATAAACATGTTCAAGGCTCTGCATCGCGAATGCATGCGGGTATGCTGAAGAGCATAAGCATGAGCTTCATCAACAGCCTTTGCCACATTATTCAAAATGCGGTCATGAGGAAGGTTGGTGTACATTGTGGTGAACTCAACCGTGCGAGGTGAGAGGCCACGTAGAGAGGACACATTGTTTTTCAGGTCAATCGCCACCTCATCGACACTTTGGACGATTCAGCACCGTCGAACACCTTCTTGTTAATAGAGCTCAGTGTCTTTCTCACGAAGAGTAGAGATCACGCCTTATAGCAGTGTTGAGATAGGACGAAGTAGTCGTTGTGCTAGCCAAGGGTCGTTCATGAATGGTGCGAATTGAAGGACGAGAGCGAGTGCGTGGGGGGACAGGACAAGTATTTTGTGTTGTGACTCCAAGAATGCTGCGAAGAGTTGGAGGAGACTTGTGGGCTTTCAACACATAGTATAGGTAAGGCAGGGTATCAGTGTGGGTATAACCCCAATGGTGATTCTATAGTGCATGGTGGTTGAGCACATCAGCGACGGATTCATGAGGACGAGTATAAGTGGGACTGTCCAAATGGGTAGAGAGGTGAAACAAATACCAATTCTTGCAACAAATTGCCAAATTGTGGGATGATTTGTCCACAGGAACAATGGCAAAGTGTTGTTGCAGATGGCGTAAGGAGGCATGTGCGCAACGAAGTGAATGTTGTTGGCTCACATGATCGGAAGACGAAGTCGCATTGAATTGACAATGCCCACGGATTGCAGAACGCCAACTGTGCAATTTCTGAGAAAGGGACGAGAAAGAAGCAGATCGAGAGTGTCTAGCAAATGTATTCTTGTAACTGGCAATGTACTCATTGAGTCTGATCGCCAGTGCTTGGAGCACATCAGCAGTCTCCCCGYTCAAACGATATTTAGAACCTTCTTGAAAAAGCTTGCGAAGGTTATCGTCTGAGATGATATTGTAATCAACAGAGACAACATGACCGTCCACAAGATCTGAACAATGCGGAAAGGCCCTGCGACATTCGCAATTCAAGGAGTCTGGTAAGGTAATGTCAGGAGCAACACTCAATGCCACATCAGTGAAGTTGCAAAATTGGACACGTGTGGGTGGCATCAACTTGTCACATACACGAACATGTGCGGCCGCTTGCAGGTCAGGGTGCAATGCAACTACTTCTGGCAACTGCAACACATGGCGCAAGTTCGTGGCACGAACTACCTCATGCACATGTACGACCTTAATATGGTCAGTAAACGGGTCACGAGGTTGTGCTGTGTAACGTTGGCGGGTATGCTGGGATTTTCGGATGAGGCATTCGAGTTCTCGAATGTCTGCTGTCATGTCCACATTGAAAACATTGTTATAAAGCCATTGCAAAAGTCGTGCCCGCCACGCTGGTTGTGCCCGCTCAATGTCAGCCTTGRCACGACACCAGTTACCCGAAGCAGCTTCATGAAGAAGGCGATGGAGTGAGGTACGAATTATGAGTTGGGGACCTGGACGAAGATCAATAGCAAATGACGGAGACGAAGGCGTTGGGAGGAGAGGCAAAGGCCGAGAGGGTGTTGGCAAAAGAGGTGCAACATGGGAGCCAGCAGGTGTCGGCAAAAGGGGTGATGTGTGAGGAGGAATAGCTGATGCAGGAATAGGTGGAGCAGGTGAGGGCTGAGCAAAAGGGGAYTGCGGAACGAACGGCTGAGGGCCCATTTGTGTCCATCGGGAAGGACGTAAATGTCGTCGTGGAGATGGCAATCTMGCCATTGGAAGGACTGCATTGAAACCGACTGGGTGAAGCGTTCGAAGTTTTCGAACCCAAAAACCCTCGCGGGGTGCAGCAGCCCTCCGAAAGAGGCCATGATCAACAAGACCTCCAGACGTATGATACAAGGTAGGATCGATGCATTCCAGGGGCCAAGCCGCGAAGTTGAATGCTGGTTGCCCACTCATTGTGCGGTAGAAATGGCGATGGTGAAAAGTAGTAGAAGAGTGTCGTCTAYGMCAATGCTCTTGCAGCCTTTGGTGTGCAGAATGCATCGTCTGTCCAACATAAAAACGACCAGAAGGTAAATGAACAATTGCATAAATCACTCCTCGAACAGTGAGGGGGTCCATAGCTGGCTCAAGAGGTTGTTGTTCAACACCTCGCAATTGTAAHTCAAACCGCTCGGCCTGCACAACATTGTTAAGATGACGGAGTTGTTTCTTGCGCCACCTTCCTGTAGAATACAAGTTAGTATTCCACTCCAAGTGTGCACGCCAATCTACACGATGAGAAACAGATGCCTGGCGGTTCGACATGTGAGCATAAGCAAATGGGACAGCGTGACCTAGAGGAAAGCTTGGGATAGCACCTGCCATGCCAATGACAGGAAATCTCCCGAAACGGGTGGGAAGTATCAGAACAGCCCCTTGATTATTTCTCAATTGCAAATTCATTGATTATGAAACGATTGGTTTTTTCGTTTTTTTTCTTATTTGTTTTTTTTCATTTTTTTATTTTTTTGTCAACTTTTCAATCCAAAGAAAGGAGGTGGGTGCATGAGGTGACAGGACTTCAGGCCCGATATATTTCTTTTTTTTGGGGGGGGGAGTCCAGAACCCCTAATAACACCACCAACACCCCCATAGCGGCCCCCAACACCCCCATACACCCCCCCAACACCCCCAAACCGCCCCCAACACCCTCATTACACCCTCCAAGACCCTCTATATCACCCCTATACCCCCCCTAAGAGTTTCTCAGCGGATTTGGGATGTACTCAGCAAGCACAGTACAGCCCCCAACTCAGATTTGAAAAACAAATCAGTGGATGGTTGTTTTCTGACTTGCCGGCAGACCGCCGACCGGTCGGCCCTACTGGTTGGCTACACTACAGTCGGCGGCCGGGGTCGGCGGTCAGCAGGGATGCAACCCTGCCCGGTGGCCTACTTTTCCAGGTCTGGCGAAAACTCAGCTCTTTTACCTGTCTGCAATGTTAATTCCCCTTCTAGCCCTCTCGTAGTAGGACACCATGTTGGGGACGGTCTCCTTCAACTCAATCCAGTGGTCGTCTTCTGATTCCTGGCACTGGAACCAGACCTTGTACTATTGCTGTGGTCTTCCCCTCTTACTGGACCTATATACATCCTCGTCTACAATATGATCGATATCATATCTTCCATCCATGTCCGGCAATATCATTGGTCTACGCGAGGGACATGCCTAATGTCAATGGTGTAGGATGGACCATCCCAATACCCTACCATGTCTATAACCTCCCATGGCCCTTTATACGCAGGTGGAAACTTCTCAGAAATTCCTTCTTCAGGTAAGAACTCCTTTGACTTTATCCAGACTTTTAGTCTCCAACAGCAAATCTACATGGTCTACGGTGTTTACTCAGTTGCGCTACGAGGGATTCAAGTTGCGGGAGGAGGAGGAGGAGGTCGAGGGCTAGATGCTCCTGGCTCACTGATACTCTTGATTTGGCGTAACGTTGCCTAGGTACCGCCGCGACGACAGGTTCGCTGCATGGACGAGTCAGATTCAGGCATTATACAGATCCGAAAGAAGATCGGTGTTCGCTAAGGAGGAGCTGATGAAGACAGCGCCTCAGATCGTGTCTCAATACGAAATGGAAGATAAAGGGGAAAGATCAAGTGATGTGACAGCTTCTCAGATGACTATCAAAGCAATGGAGGAGGGAGTGCAAGGATCAGAGATGCTTGGTAAGGCTCCAGGCCCCTATGTGCCCGCCCTAAGTGAAGGCGGGCCTCAAATTTTGTTTTGAGCTAAAACCAGTGGGAGGCCCATACAGCTGCTGCAGGGAAGGCCAAAGGCCTTCTTGGCCACGAGTTGGTTGCCCAGCGGGTGCTTCAGGAAGGGCTCTGCGTGGTTGGATTAGCCTTACAGCATCCTCGACCACCAGGTAGGGCCCAGCAGTTGAAGATGCTGGCAGCTTCAGATGCTGCGGCCTAGGACCCTTACAGTTTGAGCCCCAGGCACATTCTGGAAAGCCCCCCCGGGGCGCAGCTACTGGGACACAGGTGTGCAGCCAGGCCAGGCTTCTCGCAGGCAGACACTTTTTATAAAGGAAAAGTGCCTGCCCCTGTCCAGAATACATTCTGGCTGGACGCTGCTGCGTGAGCTCTGCTGGAGTGCAGGTCGACGCAGAGCGCTGGCCAGACACAGGGGAGCGCACACATGGGTGCTGGGATACAGCTGCTGGGTGCACCTGGCACGGCAGCCATAGCCAAGCCGCTTGTGCATGTTGCCAGTGGGGACGGTAGCGGCCCTGGGCTGAGGTGTAGCCTGTGGAGGGACAAGACAAGGGATGAGTGTGAGGGGGAGAGACATGTACCTGGTGTTGTGTGGAGGTCTGCATGGGCGTCGCCTCCTTGTACATCGGACTGCTGCTGCGGAGAGTCCCTGGTTGCATCTGGTAGATCGATAGGCCAGTATAGGTGCTGTCCGATCGTAGTCTGGGCACCGAGCACCACCATAACAGAAGAGCGACATTGGAGATGACTGGACACATTGTTGGTGGAAGCGAGATGAGGGATGAAATTGACATATTGAGTTCATTGCATGGTTACCGCCCAGACCTCCGGACCAGTTTCCAGACAGCCCCAAACATTTTGTAGGGGTCCGGTGTCCGGTACTGGACGTCCGGAACCGCCCTCCCCAGCAAAAAATCAAAAAAAAAAAAATGGGCCGCCAAGGACATTTTTCGGGTCCTCGGCCGCCCCGGAAAAATAGTGGGCCGATTTTTGTGAGTGTTCTCGTCCTACCGGACATTCGTTGAAGGCCGGACCCACCACAGTCTGCAGCAGACTCAGTAGGGGTGGCGGGAGGCAGGGCCAGCACTTTGAAACTGGCCGTTTCCGAATCTCGCGGGCTGCGCTTTACGGAAGCCGCCATCTGCTACCCGTCACGTCCCCACTGCAGCCCGGCAGCCATCGACGAGGAAGCCGCCATCGCCCACGAAACAGCCAGCCGCCGCCAACGTCCAAGAAGCAGCCAGCCGCCGGCAACTTCCAGCCCTCGCCGTCGGACCAGTGAGCCGCCGACAACGTCCAAGGA